CAATTTCTTTCTATTTTTGACAGAAACAGAGTCTCGCTTTTGCTCAGGCTGGTTTCAAACTCCTGACCTTGAGCGATCTGCCCACCTCGGCCTCCCAGAGTGCTAGGATTACAGGCGTGAGCCACCGGGCCCAGCCGGCAAATAGCTCTTCTAACAGAAGTTGCCATGCAGCTCGAAGCCCATAGTCAGCCTCTCAAAAGGACCCGTATCTATAACCCTCAAATAGAGTCATTAGGAACAGAAGTGAGCAAATACCCACAACACAAAGCATTTGGAAAAGTAGGACACTTTGCCATCTAACTCAATTCTTCTATATAAAAAACACTCTTCTGTATAAAGTTTCACTCTGTAAATACCCATCTTGATTTCTGGTATGAAAGATTTATTGTTGCTGCAGCTACCAATTCTGCTGTGTCCCTCCATAAGCTGATAGCCAACCAAACCTTATATTAAAGATAAATTTACATTAAGTTTAAAGGCTATCAGTATGAGTAAACTCTCATCTCATTAATATTTAAGTCAGTTCCTAAAAAGGGCAAGCACATAGTAAGCATGCAATAAATGCCTCATCAATTAAGTTTTTAGTCATTATTTTGACTTTTTTTTATAGTTGGCCACTTTTTTGTTTTTTTGCTTTTTTTTTTTTTGAGACACAGTCTCACTTTGTTGCCCAGGCTACAGTGAGTGCTGTGGCGTCAGCCTAGCTCACAGCAACCTCAATCTCCTGGGCTCAAGCAATCCTGCTGCCTCAGCCTCCCGAGTAGCTGGGACTACAGGCATGAGCCACCATGCCCGGCTAATTTTTTCTACATATTTTTAGTTGGCCAATTAATTTCTATTTATAGTAGAGATGGGGTCTCGCTCTTGCTTGGGCTGGTTTTGAACTCCTGACCTCGAGCAATTCACCCGCCTCAGCCTCCCAGAGTGCTAGGATTACAGGCGTGAGCCACCGCGCCCGGCCAGTTGGCCACTTTTTTAACTAAACCTTTCTTTCCAAAAAGGACTGCCTGTCACACTTATAAAACTATGTAAGTAGCCATGCGCCATGGCCCATATGCCCAGCAACTCAGGTGGCTGAGGTGGGAGGATTACTTAAGGCCAGGAGTTCAAGACCAGCTTGGAGACAGAATGAGAGACCCTACTCTATATATAAATGCATATACATGTATTATTTATTATATATATGTGTCAGCATCTGTGGAACAAGCTAGAATTGATCTTTCACAGAAGAAAGAATGCCATCTACTGACTTAACTGTAGGGCTTAAGATGGAAATCATTAAGGGGAGAAAGATTCTCTTTCCCTTGGTTCTATTTCTTTGCCTTTATCTATTTTGCATTTGTTTTTATACCAGTCTTCTGGGTGCACACCACTTAGACACTTTGTTTTCTCTGTTCTGATAAAAAGATGAAGAATGTGTATTTTTAAATTGAATGAAAGCTACATATCCTGGTGGCATTTGATTATTATTATGATTAATAATATTTTATTATTCCCAACTCTGTATTGCTTCAGTTGAAGAAATTGAAGGGAAGATTCAGAACCCCACATACAGAAATATTTTGCCAAAAGTGGTAGTATATGTGAAGGACCATTTTTAAAATTTTAATATCAATGTTTTAAATGTCAGAGAGAAATTTGTTCTGCCTCATCAAGTCCAACTTTAAAAAATCCCTATAAAATATTAACAAAGATGCTAGATTCACTCTAGCAGTAAACAATAAATAGTAGAGATTGTACTTATTTTAATACTATGTATTTAAATTATTTTCTATCTACTGAAAATACCTGCTTTGCATCAAAATTATCTAGTATGTCTTAGATTTTAGCATCTTTTCTAGAGCCTTTAGAGCAGGCGTCCTCAAACTATGGCCCGCAGGCCACATGCGGCCTGCCGAGGACATTTATCCAGCCCACCCAGTGTTTTTGCCACCTCTGCCTGTCCAGCTTAGCAGCCGACTTGTCCCAGGCCCACAGTGCGCATGTAGAATGTGCGCCACACTCTTCAACGGTCTGAGGGACAGTGAACTGGCCTCCTGTTAAAAAAGTTTGAGGATCCCTGCTTTAGAGTGTAGATGGCGCACGCATCTAGGTGTTTGTGTGTTTTGGCATTGCAGGTAAAGATAGTCTTGCCAGAGGTCAACTTGAAATAGTGTTCTTTTGAATTTTGAGTAAACAGTGTTTTTCCATTTATTTCTAAATTTTTTTCTTTTTTTTTTTTTGAGACAGGGTCTCACTTTGTCACCCTGGCTACAGTGCCATGGTGTCAGCCTAGCTCACAGCACCTCAGACTTCTGGGCTCAAGCGATCCTCCTGCCTCAGCCTCCCGAGTACCTGGGACTACAGGCATACGCCACCATGCCTGGCTAATTTTTTCTATATATTTTTAGTTGGCCAATTAATTTCTTTCTATTTTTAGTAGAGACATGGTCTCGCTCTTGCTTAGGCAGGCTTCAAACTCCCGACCTTGAGTGATCCTCCCACCTAGGCCTCCCAGAGTGCTAGGATTACAGGTATGAGCCACCGCGCCCGGCCTATTTCTAAAATTTTGAAGCATGCTTGCTACTCTATAGACATTTCTACTTTTGAGAGGAATTTAAAACTTTTAAGAATTAATTAACTATACTTCCAATAGTTTTAATATTTATTCTTAGTTTTGACTTGGCTAAATAATTTATAGGGCATATTGCTTTTCAAAGAGATGGAAGTTTAGAGACAAATTCTAGGTGTTCATTATTTAATTACCTATAATAAATCAGTATTTTTATAGCTAATTGGTCTTTAGCAACACCAAAGTTATTTTAGCTTCCTAAAACATCCATAATTTTTAGCAGCTATGTTAATTTTCTGATTTAATTTTGTCCCTTCAATTTGTAAAACTACTTTTCCCAATATACGTTGTTGTTTTCTGTGTAATTAAAGATAATATCATAGTTAGCAATTGCCAGTGATAACCAATTAGGGCTAATCCCCTGTTATTGGTAACAATTTGCATAATATATTGCTCAGCATAGAGTTTGTAATTTAAAATAATTCATAGGTTGCATGTCCTTTTGTCATCAATCAATATTATTGCATTTTATTAGAATAAAGAGTATGCAGGGAACTGTTTCATGCTACTTTTAGTCAGAAAATTAATAGATTTTATAATTGATTTTGTAAAACCCATGTTGAGACCAAATAATTAAAAATTTGCAGTAAACTATTTGCATTTTATGCCATAAGCTTTCTCTCTCTTTCTCTCTCTTTTTTTATTATTATTTTTTTTTTGAGATAGCGTCTCACTCTGTTGCGCAGGCTAGAGTGCTGTGGTGTCAGCCTAGTTCACAGCAACCTCAAATTCCTGGGCTCAAGTGATCCTCCTGCCTCAGCCTCCCAAGTAGCTGGGACTACAGGCATGCACCACCATGTCCAGCTAATTTTTTTAATATATGTTTTATATATTTTTAGTTAGCCAATTAATTTATTTCTATTTTTAGTAGAGACAGGGTCTTGCTCTTGTACAGACTGGTTTGGAACTCCTGAGCTCAAACGATCCTCCCACCTTGGCCTCCTAGAGTGCTAGGACTACAGGCGTGAACCACCACGCCCTGCCCATAAGCTTTCTCTTGCACAGAAGTTACATGCTTTCTATTCTTCAGTTACTCCCTAAAATATTCACATTTCTATATCTGATAAAATGTATCTATATGCAAATTACAACTAACACAAGCAATTAATCTAATTATCAACAGTGTAAAGTGAGCTTACAGCAGAAGCAAAATTTTTAGAGTTTGAGTTAGTTTGGAAAAATAAAATTTATATAATATGAGATTTTTTTCGTGCTGGAATGTAAAGCACTTGGAAAGATTCTTGTTGCCTGGTCTTACACCACTTTGCCTGTAGATAATTCAGTTGACCCTAGAACAACGTAGAGGGGTTGGGTGCTAACTCCCTACACAGTTGAAAATCTGAGTACAACTTTTGACCCCTCCCAAATTTAACTACTTACCAATAACATAAAGAGCCGATTAACACATATTTTGTATGTTATAGGTATTATATACTGTATCCTTACAGTAAAATAAGCTAGAGAAAAGAAAATGGTAGTAAGAAAATCATAAGGAATAGAAAAGATATGCACTGATCATTACATGGAAGTGGATCATCATAAAGGTCTTCATCCTCGTCATCTTCATGTTGAGCAGACGGGGGGAGGGCTAGTCTTGCTTTCTCAGGGGTGGCTGAGGCGGAAGAAAATCAGTGTATAAGTGGATCCTGCAGTTCACACCTGTATTCACCTGTCATGTCACACCTTCCACATTCATTGTGAATCCTTATTTATTTTCTGTCAGGGATCGGTCCCTGAGGGTGCTGTCGCGGCAGGACTAGGCAAAGCAATGAAGGATTCCTGAAAACCCTTGCAGTCAGCATGCCTATCGGAACTACCCTAGTCCCTAATTCCTCAACTCTGTTGTCTTCCAAGACAAATGCCTCAGACAGACGCTCATGGTGGTACCATGGGAACTGTCTGCATTCTGTAGTTATTACTTTACCTTTGTGTGTTTGCTGCCATCTTCTTGTTGTTTTGCCCAGATGAATTGAACTGTGTCTGTCGTGGTCAAAAGATAAGCAAGAATAATTTTGCAGTATATATTTACAACTTGTAAACTTTTCTTAGAATAATGTAACATAAAATTTCTTTTAGGTCATTGCATATAATACCAGAAGTAAGCAAGTTACTTCTCAAACATAGTTTTAAGCTATTCTTTTCAATCCTATTATGTTGCAAAAACTGAATTGAGTAGTCTTTAATGGGCTTTTTAAATTTTAAGTGAGTAGAGATCAAGAGTGAGAAAATTGCAACTTTAAAAGGGTAAACATCTGATTAGATTTAATGCATTTATAATGATAGATTATCCTGAAACTATTAATATTTTGAAATTGAAAATTGAATTGCATTTTTACTTTCTCTCTGTTTCACTTTTATTATTTTCTCTACCCCTCTGTACCCTTTTCAGTTTCCTCAGGCTGGGGAGAAATGCCTAATGTTCACTCAAAGGCTGAAAACTCTTGGGGAGAACCATCCTCCCCTTCTACCCTGGTTGACAATGGCACAGCAGCGTGGGGGAAGCCACCCAGCAGTGGTAGCGGATGGGGAGATCGCCCCGCAGAACCTGCCGTGGCGTTCGGAAGGGCTGGCGCACCCGCTGCTGCTCCAGCCCTGTGCAAACCAGGTAGGCCTGCCATCCCGCTCGCCTGATCCGACCAGTTAGAGTTGGCGCTCAGAGTATTCTATTTAGAGGAATACTTTTCATTGAATTTTTAAAACTAAATTTTTAGGATACTTTTATCATATGTTTATACTTTAAAACTAACTTTAAACCAAGACTGTAAAGAAATATTTGTCATGTCTGCTCATGAACACAAAGGAGCTTTTAATAGAAGTCATGCCCTCCATTTTATAATAATGTGAATAAATACAAGTATCAAAGCCACCTAGCATATATGTTTGGTACTACTGGTAACATCCATGCTTCAGCAGTATCCTTGCCTGGCACATTAAGCAATTTAAACTTGCTGTTTTACTGAGCAAGATGGATAAACCATGTCATTTTTTTTCTTCTGGAGATTAGTTTTTGAAAACATGGGTTACTTTGAAGCAGTCTGACACTCCTTGCCTACTTTAGTCTTGTCAACAAGAATTCCACTCTGGGTACTCTTTGTTTATATTATACAACTTGAAAAAAGAAAAAAATTGTGCATTTTCCTTCCATTTTCTTAAAACGTAACAAATATACAGATAATATACATTCTTACCAATGTCCAGATTATTTTTACCAACTAGAATTCTTGTTATTATATGGGTATTTTGCAATATGATATTTACAATATTAATGTGAGTAAGGTGGATTTAAATCTGATATTAACATTAATTGCTCACGTGGCTACAGAAGCTTCCTATTTTCTTGGGCATCATTACATGTCCTAGATCTTAAAATGCAACTTTAATGGTTTTGTGTTTTGTTATTTTGCTAATATGGATAATACATTCCATATGTCCACCATTCTACTGGAAGTATTTATTGCACTCATATTACTTTTTGTTACAAATGCAAAGAATACGGGAATTTCTGAGTATTTAGATTCACATGCCATTTGAGACTGTATTCTGTTTTTAGAATCTGTCCTGGAGGCCCCAGTTATATGCCTGTCCTATATGTTTGTAAGCATCCTACCCTCCTCATCTGAAAGACCCCAGCTAACTGTGCTATCACCTAGTCTTTGGCCTTCTTCACATTCTTCCAAGGAGTGAAAACTTGGGGTAATTTTGACACCGAAATTCACTTTGTACCTTAAGAAAGGAGAAAAAACATAACATCTTGAGATGGAAACTCAGTAGTCAGTTTGTAGTTCCATCTGCCTCTGCCCTGCTAGTTTACGTTTCCCAGGAGCCTGTTAGAAATGCAAGCTGTGGGGCCCAAGCTCAGACCTGCTGCATTCTGCTTGGTGCCCAGCCGACTCTCGCAGATTGCCAGTTTGACAAGCACTGGTCTATATGATGTAACGCTCACAGGTTTGGATCAAGCAGTGTTAAGAACCGACCAGAAGATAATGACATTTTTCAGGAATCTACATTTTAGTAGCTTTTCATAACATGTAGAGATTGTCACCTTCTCCTGTAGCCCCTAGGATTTATTTTTAGCATGATGGTTAGTACATTAAGTTTGGAACAGTGCAGACTACAAATAGCTACAGTTTGAAGGAAAACGTATAATATACATGTACATACATATCTAGTAGGAGAAATGAAAAAATGAATTAGTAGGCCGGGCGTGGTGGCTCACGCTTGTAATCCTAGCACTCTGGGAGGCCGAGGCGGGTGGATTGCTCAAGGTCAGGAGTTCAAAACCAGCCTGAGCGAGACCCCATCTCTGTTGTTGATACAACTGGGCAGTACATAAGTTTATTCCCACAAACATCACACAAACCCACGAGTAGGTGTTGTTGCTACAACATTCGTAGGCAAGAAGAATTTTTCAGCTTCATTATAATCTCATGAGCCACCATTAGTATGCGGTCTGTTGTTGACCAAACACCATTATGCGGCACACAACTATATTTAAAAATGACTATCATATCCTCCTGTAGTAGATTAGGCCGGACCATTATGCGGCACACAACTATATTTAAAAATGACTGTCATATCCTCTCTGTAGTAGATAGGCCGTAACTACTCTTTCTTGGTCACCATTTGAGTGCCCTCTCCTGTTTCAGAGTTCTTCTGGAGAGCGTTCAGAGAAAGAGGGCCCCGTGCCTTGGCACTAGAGCCTATGGATAAGTGTGTCTGGCTTCTGCTTGGTGACCAGGTGTGGGACATCTTTATGCATCATCTCATTTGATCCCTACAGCTCCTTTGGGCTCATTTTACAGATGAACCTAGGAGATTGAGTAGCCTACCAAGGCGTGTATGTGTGGTGGAGGTCTCAGATGTGTAGTGTATACTTGACCTGCTGACCTTTCCAAAATACTACACCCATGATGGCCACAGAGTTGGAACCACGTTGCATTTGTTGGCGCTCTCCCCCTTTGATACGTTCATCCTTAGAAACTACTTTAACTGGTTTTTTTTTTTTTTGATTTATTGGCATATATGGGGTACAGATTTAGGTTCATAATGCCATTCCCCCCTTAACTGGTTTTTAATAGCCAAGAATGTGCACTTACTTGATAAGCATTTTTCAATAGAAGCAAAATCACTGTTTATATGAAAAAAATTATAGTTTTTTCCCTTTTGACAATTGCACATACTATCACCAAATGTAAAAGAAGAAAAATGTGTTATGACTACTGCATGTTAGCACAGCAGCGTTTATGTGGTGCTTTTCTCCCCTCTAGCTCTTAGGTTCTATGCATATGTGTAATCTTGGTAATTGTAGCAATATTATAGAGGCAGTTGTGAATTTAGCTATACCAGTTAAGAGAGACAAACAAAATGTTATGCAAATTTTTCCATGTAGAAGTAAGTCTATATGCTGAAACTATGTCAAGTTTTGTATATTGTTCAACATATGGGGTTACTTAGTAATGTTTTTAATTTATAATATTAATCTGTTTTCTATCACTGACAACAAAGTAGCTACATTATTGCCACTTTACATTACCTGTGATATTTAAGTTTCAGACTTGAACCATGCTTTCTTTTGCAGTGAGAGCACAGTTCATCACTCTTGGAATTACAAGTAATCAAAGCCTTTTACTTTCCAAACTTGTTAGACCAAGCTCCTGTTTGACCCTATGGAAGTAACAGCCTGGGTCATCCACCACTTCCCTTCACAGTGATGACAGTGTGCGTGTGTGGCACCATCTCTGGTGGCAGCCTACTGCCCAACTGTGCTGGTTGAACAGTCAGGGTGGGGTGAGGTGACAGTAATCGCAGCCCCCACCAGGCTCTGTATCAGCCAGTGATTTGAACACCTGCACAGGTTGCCATAACTCAACTGGGATCCCCACTCAAATCCTTCCACTTGTGACTGCCAGATAGAGTTTCTGCTGTTTACAAAAGTCGGTGTTTTATGGTATTCTGCAATTTGCTATTGACCTGTGCTGATTTTACATGATTTCCACTTATGTCAGATTTTGTTTAAGTTGTTTTAAACTTTTGACCATTACAATTTAAGTTAGTTGATCTCTTCTTCTTACCCAAATATGGTTTCTCAGTTAGATATTTTTTGTGTGTCCAGTCTCATTAGAAGTGAATGCTACAGACAATCATTTTTGTTCCATTCCTATTATGTTGATATTAATTAGTTTTCTGTGAGCCTGAGGAAAATAGTTATTTTAAGAAGTGCAGAGTAGTTTCCTAAACTGGATTGTTTGGACCTGGTTTCACACCCATTCTGGAGATAGGACAACAGTAGTATGATCCAGAGAAATATCCCTGTGCCTGTCTTTTATTCGAGATTGTAGGCCTAAGGAGGACTCTTGAGGCTGTACTTGGCACAGGATGTCCATGGCCCACCCCTCCTGCTCATAACATGGCCCAGTGTGCTTGCTCTTGATATATGAGCTAGACTTGCAGAACCTGCTAACTCGTGCTCTGCTGTATGTCAGAAACTATTAAGTCATTGTAAAACCAGTCTGTTATTTTGTCAAACTAGTGAGATGTAGCAGAAAGTGCAAACATAGCACTTACTTGTGTTTCTCAGGAATGAAAGCAGACCTAAAAATACTGAGCAGCCTGATCACCTGGTACACTTAGAATAGATATTCTGGGACACTTAAAAACCAATTTCAGACACACAGGAAAACATTGGATATTAATTAATAAAACTTGTAGGGAATAACAGATCCTCACAGTTGACTCTAAATCTAAGAATGAGATTCAGGGAGAACTTCCAGAGATTGTTCTTTCATTCCCGAACTCAGTCAGGCTTCACCAAAACATGTAGATAATTTGAAAGAGATTGGTGTAGGGGAGAGAAATTGCCATACAATTAATTTAGAGACAAACATGAAGGTCATCGTAGACTTGATCAAAGCTGAATCGCAACAGAATGGGTTGTGGAATCTCACCTGTCTTCCAACAGTGGATGGAAGTAAATATCTGTACCATGTGCTGATCAGAAAAGCAAAAGAAAGTACACTGCTAATGTTGGTCTTATTCTGTAATATTTTTTTGTCCACTTTACGGCCTTTCTCAGCTCCTCAAAAATGTCTCTCATTAGCCATAGTGGACTTTTCAGCTGTGCTGGTAGAGACGCTGTAGTTGGCTCGTACAAGTTGGCAAAGGCTTTAGCCAGAGCAAACCTTACTTTGCATTTGGGTACTTAATCTAGTGATATTTACTTTAAAACTTAGTTTTCTAGCACAAATATATAAAATTACAATATTATCAAATATTATAAAAACAGAGATTACGTGAGTTAGTCATGGAAGACACATTTGCTAAAATAAAACCTGGAAAAAAATTAGATTTAGAAAGCCTCAACCCAGGGAGATGAAACATATATTGTTTCTGTAAGTCTCACCAACACCAGAAGCTGGAGAACATTGTACTTCCTGAAGATTCCCTTTCCTACAAAGGTGTCTTTACCAGTCTTTCCTATAAAATGATACCAAAAGTATCACCTGCAGATGGAATGAACCAGCAAGATGCTGTCACAGGTGAACCCTTCACACCATAACTTCAGAAATAGATACCATTGACCTCCCAGCCAGAATACTTCTATTTTAA